AGGCCAGTCAGCACCCCAAAGGAGCCGGCTGGTGTCATCGCGCCCGGGCCGCAGCCCGGTGGAGGGGCGGGGTCCCTTTGTGCGCGTGGAGGGGCCAGCTGGCCAGCTGTGAGACCAGTTGTGGCAGGCGGACAGAAGGCTAGCCCCACCCCCATCGGCCCCTTTGTTCCCAGCCTGGTCCTGCCCCCAGCCCCTCCCCCACCGTCCCTGGGGTGCAGGCCTCCCGGGGACCCCGTCCCCCAAAAGACCCGAAGGTGGGGGCTCTGGGGAGCTCCAGGCCCCCCACCCTCGGCTTCTCTTGCCGTTTCCTTGCCCGCCCCCGCGCACCTTGGCCCCGATCTGGTTGCCGCATTGGCCGGCTTGCAGGTGCACGATCTCCCGCATGCTGGTGGCGCTGATGGCGGACGCGGCGGCTGCGCAGAGGCTGGAGGCTGCGGCGGCGGTGGCGGCTGCAGCGGCTGCAGCGGCAGCGAAGCACTGTCCCTGCGCCCCGGGGCGCCGCTATATGAGCGGGCGGGGCCGCGTCACGGCCGGTCACGGGCCGCCCCGCCCCCTGGTCCCGCCCCAGGACGGAGGGCGCCGGCTGCAGGGATCACCGTGAGGAAGGGCGCCCAGACCTCGAGCGTGCAGGCTCAGGTGCGCCAGGACGGGTGCCCCCACCCCAGGCTCCATCAGCTCACCCCCATCCCGCTCCCAGTCAGGCCTGGGGACCCCGGCTTCGCGGAAATTGTGGGGGGACGCTTGGTAAACAAGGAGCTGGGAGATCCTGCACCTCCTCCATCTCCCCCCACTCCAGACCCTGCCTCAGTTTCTCTGTCTGCAGCCTCCCTACCAGCTCCGTTTCTCCAGGTCTCAATCGGTGGTGCAAATGGTTAAGCGCTGGACAACGCTGGCGGTTTGAACCCTCCCAGAGGCACCTTGGAAGAAAGGCCTGGCGATCTGCTTCCAGAAGGGCACAGCCTTGAAAACCCTATGGAGCACAGTTTCTACTCTGCACACATGGGGTCGCCATGAGTCAGAATCAGCGGAACCTGCAACTC